AATATCAACAGGCAACGGCAACAGTTGCCGCTGGCTGTTGTTGCTGCTGTTGTTGCTGTTGTTGGTGGTGGTGGTGGTGGCGCGATGCGTTGTGGCTCATTGTGTCCGCGTGTCTGGCGCGCTGCATTGCCTGTCAGCTCTTAAACGGCCGACTGCAACATTCTTTGCTGACAACGCAGTAATTAAAATTCAATTGCAATTAAAAGTGCGCACGCAAAACAGGCAACGACAAATGAAATGAAGTGCAATGTCGAGAGGGCGCAGCATGCGAAGGCAGAAGAGGGTGCCGAGTGCGCATTGCTTAAACATTTGTCGCATAGCCAACATTTTACCTTATGTTCGATATAGTCTGCTGCTGTTCGGCCCTGGCTACTGCGCCCTTACTCGCGCCGTTTCCACTTGTTCGCACATTTTTCGCGTAGGCGTTTGAGGTGCCGCTGATTAGCTTGCAGTTCCCAAGTTGTATGTAGATGCCGCAAACGATTGTCAAATAATAAATATGCGTTATATGAGATGCTTTCGGACCTTTAATTATTTGTTAATGCAAAACTGCCAAGCCAACAGCAAGCAGCGGCCAGTGCCTGGGAAATGTTTTCTAATCAAAAAGCTTCGTGGAATCAATTTGAAATGTTTAATTATGATGCTTCGGTGCATTATATTACTTCGAATAATACCATTAAAAGCAAAAACAACAATAAGAAATGAACAAAACAAAAGACAAAAGCCACCCATACGTAATTAACTTCAACCAAAGATATGCCAGTGTCGATCCGACCCTTTTGTGGCCTTCGCTTCCATTGCTGCAGTTCGCGTGAATTTTCTACACCGGCCGTCAGCAGAAAATTGAAATTATTAATAAGTGCAAAATTAATAGGAATTATAAACAATTATTGTCCAATGGCTCTGTGTCGTTTAGCGTTGTTGTTGCCTTTGACTCAACACTTTCGTGTGCATTTAAAGGTTTTTCTTTATGAAGCGAATGACCGTTTAGACAGGTGCCAAAAGAGTCCAATGGATCGTTGCGTGGCAGCTGTTTTTAAAGTTGAAGCTTGTATTCATTCGCCAATCTCTCTGTCATTAACATAAGCATACATAGCTCGTATTCATATTTTAAAATACCCATAGACAAATCCAGTTCATGGCAAACTCGTTGGTAGTGATACATGCCAATCAGTTCGTCTCTGTTTGTGATTATTATTTTATGTTCATTAAATAATTGGAGGCAGTGCAAGTAATATGAAGAAGCATGCACACATGTATATATACATATATATATATATATATATATATATATATATGTATGTATATTTTGTTATTTTAGAGGATTGACGCTTATCCACCCCCATTATGTTGAGCTGAACATAATTAATTGCAAGCTGTTGTCGAAATACAATACAAATACCCTATGCCAGAGTCAGCTACGCAGGGCATATCAACTTTAACTGTTGTTGAAGTACAAATAGAAAAGTAATTTAAAAATGAATGAAATAGAGGAAGTGTCTTGGAATATCTTATATGCCTACACAGTACATTTAAGTAATCTCTAGAAAATGCTAATTGACATTCCCTTAATCTTAAATCTGCGCAGCTATATATACTTATGCATATATAATTATTTTATAGCGTATTAGTTACGCTTCATCCTCACACTTTTAATGTTGCAATCATTTTAATTAGTTCTTTAAACTGATTTGGAAACGAATATCAATAATATTGATTACATGAGTTAATGACGAATTGTCGGGTTCTGGTGCTTGAAAAACAAACTTAATTAGTTAGTTAATAAAAAATTAAGAGAATTTCAATTATTTCGCTCAGTGTCATTATTCATACGCAGATTGTACAAGTCCCGCATAATTGTCACGGAATATCTGGAAAATAATTCACAAATAATTTCATCAATTATGTAGCTCAGCTGTGGAGGACCGTTAGCTGGCTGCGTTGTTGCCATTTCAATTATGTTGATATTAATTTTCATATTTAATTTAACGCGAAAATAAAATGGCAGCACGATTGACCGCCGCAAAAGCAGCTCAGAGGACACGCTTGAATATACAAACAAACAAATATACATACATACATACATACATACATACATACATACATACATACATACATACATACATGCGTATGCGTTCACGTGCGAAGCTGGCGGAGAAGCATATATGGTCGGCCAGGAGAATACAACTTTTGCGAAATCCATTTTGCAGTAAAAACCGCATGCATTATTTAAATTTTAAGTGAAATCAATTACAAGCTCGTTGGCAGTGAGGGGCGGGGCCCAAGGCTTTTGATGTTAAATGCCAACCGCCGACGAATGGCAACAAAGGGGCACATAGAGCACGGCACGGAAAATGGTAAATGACAACGCCAGCATCAGCAGTAGCAGCAGCAGACGGCGAGGGCGACGGAAGTGCGCATAAATGCAGTTGCAGTCGAATAAATAAATAAAAATATATTTTGCCATTAAATTTCAATTAATAACAACGCAAACACACACACGTACAGAGCATCAGCGGCCGTAGTTGTTGTTGGTGTTGTTGCATTCACAGCTGCGACTGCTGCTGCAATATTAATACATTTTGGCAGTCGTGCGTGCGCTGATTGCCGCAAGCCCATGAAATTAAGTCACAAATTAATTAATTAATGCAATCAATACGTGCGACATTTGCATTTGCAATTACAATTATGGTTTCGCATTGCTTGGCTGCCAGTTAAATGCAACAATTTCTTGCGCTCTAAATATAGTTACGCATACACACACGGGCACACACATGCACTTAGATACATATGTGTATGTGTCTATGCATTTATACAGCCCGTTGAGGTCGTTTGCCAGCTTAGATTTGGAGACACACACATGCACACACACACACTGCTTACGCTACCTAAACAGGAGCCCTGGTACACCATGGCGAACATAATTTTTTAATGGACTTTTAATGTTAGTCGCCTGCATTTTACTACATGTGAGTGTGAGAGTGTGTCTGCGTCTCGCGTGTGCTTTTGGGGTCAGCTTGGTTGCCTGGGCACAATTAGCGGCAGCTTGTACATAACATATGTCAGCCACATAGGTGGGTTTTCCGCAGACAAAACGTTAAGAAGTTGTTGGATATCGGGATTAGAAATGAACTGATGTAGGTTAAAAGATTAGTTTCATTGACTTAACGTCCGGCCAAAGCGAAACTCTTGAAAACGATTATGAATGTTGCAGTCACGTGCTACCTGCACAATGTTCATTTAAAGTGTAAAAACAATTGAATCTGTTTTTGCTAAAGTCACGAAGGAGTCTGCAGTAACTAAACGGCCAAACTTTAAAACGTCCATTTGCAACGTCCTCATGAAGCACATATATATATATATATATATATATATATATATATATTTAGCCACGGCTTCATTGGGCGCAGATATAGCCACTGTATATTGCAGAACTTGGGTAATCAACGTGAGTAAATATTCTAAATATTAAAATAACTAGCTTTTTAACTAATAGCGTTTGTGATATATCAATAGGCAAATACTCTTATTCCCCAATAGGGAAATCTTACAACTTTTCATGACAAGCACGCACAAGACAATTAACAAATTCAATTTAGGCCAAGCGGACATTGAAAAAAGCCAAAATACTCTTTCACCTCGTGAACTAACAATGAAAATCAAATTGTTGGATTTGATTATGCCTTTATCTGTACTATTATAGATAGGTGTAATTTGGATTGGATTTCGGCAAAAACTACTATTTATTGATAAGATTATGCTTGTATGAGCTCCGATTACATAGCTCATATTTTCAAGCATTTCAATAAAAAATTTGTGAATTTTAGTGGTAATCTTTAAGCGAGTAAGTTTACTTAAGAAACTGCTTGCACTGTTTGATTTTATTTACACTGCTTGTTTGAACACAATCAAAGCACCTACTGTTGCAATGTTTAGCTCTACTTCTACTGCTTGCTTCTCTTGCTTATTACCCTACTGCACGATAGATGGCGCCAGTAAAAATAATCTATTTCAGCAGATCTGTAGAATATGAATCAAACGAATAAGATAACTGCACAAATAAGTCGGAATATATATACTGTTTTTGCATTCCACATTTCATAGTAAGTTTATTGTATTTCGCATATGTAATTTTATGTGATTATGTATACGTAATACTTATTTATATGCTTCGCTTTCTACACACCATTTCTTGACATTGGTTAGGTTTTATTTGTCACTGCTACCTGTAGTAGTTGATACACATTTACATTATCGTAGCATATAGATAGATATACATAGATATACATAAATAAAACTATGTCGCCAAAATGGGCATTTACAGTATTACAGTATATTGATCAAGGATCATAAGTTTCATACATACATACATCAATAATATATGAAGGGCTTAAATTTAGAAATAACTCTGACACTAAATCATATCTATATAGACATATATTTATCATTGCAACACATATCGAGGTGCTGTGAAATATTAATATAACCAATTTAAATGATTTTTATTTTCTGTCTAAGAACCAAATCAATGCAATTTTCATCAACTTGGTAAAAGATTTTGTTGAGTGTATGGGGTTAGTAATTTAACTTAAGATTATAGAATTTGACTAGCTGAATTTGCTTTACACATTAAAAGGTTGCTTTTCTGATTCCTAGAGGGATGTATCCATGTTTTCCGTTTTATATATTGCGACGACTACAAACTAATTAACATTAAACATATTTTGGTGCCATAAACATAATTTGAAGCTTTTTAGAAATCGTAAAAGTACATTTGTGATATTTATGTGTTGAGTATTTTGGATGTTAGATTTCGTTTCGTAAAGTACAGATAAAGTAAAGTATGCATAATTAAGACCACGTATAAATATAATACAGTAAATTATAGCTAAACAAAAAACGTATTGAAGTTTTTACGAAATAGTTTTGGAATTATCGTAACTAGTTAAGTATTTACAAAAATATATGTTGTAGTAAAATATATATATATATATGTACTCGTATATATTCCTTTACTTCCTTTGAGTAGTATATCTTAAGCTCATGTGGTCTAGGTCGTAAAATATGTCTGCTCGTTGGGATTACCGAAATTCTTGCGGGATTTGTGTGTTTGTTATATGATTTTGATATAACAAGTTGCATGTCGCACTTATTAGACCTTACTCTCGGGTCCATCGGCAACATGCTTAAAAGCGAGACGTATGCGGGACAAGTAGTGCGAGCAGATGTGTCCATAGTTCTTGTTGTACCACTCCGGAGTCTTGCCCCTGAAAGTAGGCAAATTTTCAGTTAAATTCCATTGCCAACATGTTTGCATTGAGCTTTTGCTTACTTGACATCCACGCGCGCCAAATGCATGACTCGGGAACGTCCGCTGCCGCAGGGTTCGATAAGGTAACGGGAAGCCAAGACGACACCTCGTACAGCACAGAACAACGGCTTTGCCTTGGCGTGGTCGATCGAGGTCTCCACAATAACACAGGCGCCACGCGGCAAGTCCGTTTGCCAGGAACTAGGAGATGCAAAGACGAATTAAACATGTCACGTACAAAGCTGAGATTGAGTATAGCCGCAAACTTACCGCAGCACACAGAAGTCTGTGGTCAACTGACCATCCAAAGCATACTGATAGATTTCGGTGCGATCATCTAGTTTCTTTACCGTTTGGCATTGCAATAGATTTGGATCCCAGGAGGCGCGTTGTTTGATTATGTACTCCAGCACCTCCCGCGGCGGACCCTCAATCTCTGTAGAGCAACGCCACAGACGCAGAGGATGCCCATCGCCCACCTTTTTGTATGCAATGTCCACATTGCTGTCGTTGAGTGAACTTATTGCAATCCAGCTACGTGTTCTGGTTGGGTTAAGAGAGAGTGAGATTAATCCGTTTGGAGTGAAACCACTTCAACTTACTTTTCACGGCCTTCTTTAATGGTGGCGCTTGTGCACTCGTATAGATAGCCGCGCCAGTTGTGAAACTGCATGCCCTCGCCAAGAGCTTCCAGTGGCACTGGCTTCGACTCCTCCATGTAGCCAAAGTTGCATTTTCCCAGTTTCTCTTTGGCGGCAGTATAGATTGGCTTGTAATGCTCAATCATAAAGGACAGACACTCGTGCGATGCCTTGGCTTCTGCCAACTCCTTCATGTCCGGCATTCCGGAGCCCTTGCCTTTGCGCCGCGGTGAAGCCGACACCGATGCGGAGCCAGTTGAAATGGACGAGTGGAATATGGACTGTGCTAGACACACGCCAAGATTGTTGCTTGTCATTTGATTCTGTTGTGAGTTGGCAGCCACAATGGTGAGGAACTCTAGCAACACATAAAGTATTTCTCGGTTCTCATCCGGCAGCAGAAGCACGGCGCATTGAACGGCATCCAGACGCACATCAGCGGGTAAATCTGATGAAAATTGAATTCAATAACTGTCGAAAGATAAGAAAGTTGCATGCTAACTTACGCTGAAAGATGGCCACAAAAGTCTCGGACATTTTGGTGGTCAGCAGCGACTCGGGGAGCTCGCGGAAGTATTGCTTGAGCATGTCGGCCACATCATAGGCCTGCTGTAGGTCAAACACATCCATGCACTCTGCCGTCGAATCAGTGATCTCGATCTGCTCGCGCAGCTTCATAATTCTTGATTTGCCACCGCTCTTGCGGAACAGTCCCACCTGGTCAAGGGCATTGAGTTGCAGCCAGCGCAGAGCAGCGCGCACGGCTAACGGCAAGGTTTGACCGCTGCGCTGTAGTATTAAAAGCAGCGGAACACCAAACACTTTCTTGTCCTTGTAGTCTGGCATCTTGATCTTCTTGATGAATTTGGGCAGCTCCCAGTTCCAGCCAGAGCGATGAGACGGGCAGTAGCGTTCCATGTAGCCCGTCAAAGTGACCAGCGCCAATTTGCGAATGATTTGCAGCTGCCCAGCCGACATGGCAGCAAAGGGAATGCCAGCGTCCTCTTGCTGGGCATGTGGCTCGATCTTTTGTGAGAAGCATTTGCGGAAGATCATGTTGGGGCGTTCCTCCATCTGGAAACTATGCCAGCGCACAACTGGCTGACGCTTGGAGCCGCCAGTATGCTCCTCCTCGTTCATCGTCTCTTTACGGGATGTGCTTCGTGAGCGGAATGAGGAAGAACGGAAGCCATCCCGTTTCTTGGCATCTTTGCCCAGATTAAGCGAGCCACCACGTGTCAGCTTCTTGATCTTTACCTCTGTGGTATTAGAATTTGCATCCTTAATGAGCAGCTTACGTCCCTGATGGCACTCGGAGTCTGAGTGCGCACCAATGTCGTCCACCTTGCCGGAGCGCTGCAAAAATCGACGGGCTTTGGAGGGCTTCCGCAGGGAAAGTGAGAGCTTGCCTCCAGTCGACGATTCCTGACTATCGCTATAGTAGGAGGAAGAGTCGTCTGACTTACCCTCCTTTAGCTGTGTCATGGGGCTGGAGAAGAAGTGCAGCGGACTGGTGCGCATTGAACGCGGCGTGGTTGGTGTTCGCTTGGGGCTGGATCGATTCGGACTCAAGAAGTTCTCGCTATGACTGGGCACCTTCAGCTCGTTGCCAAAGAATGGTACCTTGGGGAATGTGTGCATTGGACTTAATGCGGATGGCGAAGGGGGCGTGGAGTAGACGGCATCGGGTTTGCGCAAACTGCTGCGTTGACCCAACTGTGCCAGGTCCAGTACTTGTGGGCCACTAATAACCACATTCTCACGATTCTGACGCTTGCGACGTCGCGACTTAATCGACTCCACTCGCCGCAGAAATGCCTTAGCTCCGTCCTTGAAACGCTCGCTGCCCGTTCGACGCAGACGCGCGGTTCCATCTGAGCCCTCATTCAGGGAGCTATCATTGGCATCGCCCTTGCTGCAGCCTGGAATCACGAGGGTAATGCCAGCGCCGCCTAGATCGTAGCTGTCGTCTTCGAAGCGATCGGGACTTGACTCCTTGGATGAGCTTTCGGTTTTCTCCAGGTTCAGAAGTCCCGGTGGTGGTAGCTCCAGACCCATCTCACCTATGCGCGACCAGCGTCGAATGTGTGGTTGGAATGTCCAGTTCTCGCTCAGAGCAAAGTTCTCATCATCAGACTCTTCCTTTTGCTGCCAAAATACGTAAAGATTAAGCTGATCCTGCATGTGCTGTGGCTTGTGCAACTCACCTGTGGCGTTTGGGGCTTGTGTGACTGATCCAGTCGCATATTGGCGCAACGATTTAAAACACAGAGCCGTCTGTAGAGCGACTGCAGCTGATCGTTTTCAAGATTTGTGTGATCTTTGGCTACATTGTTCAGTTCTATCGGAAACTGATGATCTGCAAATATCAAAAAGTTTAGTTTGTAATTGCCTATTGGCCAGGGGTTCGATGCGGCTGCTGCTGTTTGCTGCGTCTGCACAGTACGACGGCGCATGAAATTCTAATTGAAAACCAGAAAAATCGAATCGCCAGTAGCGCCTACAGTCGCAACGGCTAGGCGCCTATTAAACGCTCTACACACACACACATATGCGAATGCCTGCGAATGTCTGCCAGAGTCAGTGCGTAGAAGACATTGCCACGCTGTCGCAGTGCAAAATTTTCACAGAGTTTTTCCACATATTTGCGTGGCCAATTTGCACGTAGGAAATCAAGTTCCCAGACGACGACGAGCCAGCCAGCAACCGACCACATAAAACAGATACGCCAGACGTTTACACATGTCGCGTCGCACTGTTACAGATGCAAATGCAGATACATTTACAGCTACAGGCTGGATAGCTGGCTAGTTGGCTGGCTGGCTGGCTGGCTGGCTGGCAGGCAGGCAGGCAGGCATTGATGCCGTGAGATACGAACTGTGGCAGTTCCGTAGGATGTACGCCTGGAAAAGCTAGCCGCTTTTGTTTGTACAAATATTGTTAGTATTACAATACAATAATCGTGCCTCATGGAAAAGTCATTCTCAGTTTATTGAACTTTTGATGAGCTCGCCTCTACCTCCAATCTCTACCTCACCTCCACCTCCACCTCCACATATATTAATGCCCTATCCCTGCAAGCTTTCCATAGATTTGTTTACTCATGAAGACGCCTTATCTGCACTTACGTGTGGCTGCTTTAGGGTTATTTATAATTTAATTTAAATGTTTCACTAAATACTGTGCTTAGTATCTAATTGTGTGCACTTTGATGCTAATGAAATAAACAGAATTGCGCGCATGCCAGCACATTGGAGACCCAATTTAGAGAGTGTGCCACTTAGTTCAATAATATGTGGTGGCCTCACCCAACGGGCGGTCCCACACCACGGACCAGCAGCCACACACCACAGAGCAGCAGCAGAGCAGTAGAGCCAGCTGCAGAAACAGCAGCATCATCTCATTATCAATAGCAACAGACACCGTGCGCACCGTTGACGTCATAGAGAAATTCTTGGGAAACTAATTTGAGTTTTTCGACAGTTTACAACAGTTTACAGGGCAATGCGCCCGCCCGGAACCACTCCGTCCCGGGATTCAGTTTATTGGGCCAATTATATGATTAATTTTTTCACTGTGCCACAATGGAAAAGCGAATTGTTTGTTTGTATTAGATAGCATCAGCGGATGATGCAGCCTGCAGAAATATCCAGCTCTTTTCATTTTTTCGGTAGTAAATTTGAATCTATGGCAAATTTGGGAATATTTTGAAATCATTCGAAATGGAATTGGAATTTTTACAGGCCCAAATTTTTCCTTTCGTTCAGGAAGTCAGTTGTTATGGGCCTAAAATATCGCATGCCTGGCAAATCATTGTTCATCCGAGCTTTAATCGAACATCAGTCGTTCTTAAGCACACCCATATGTGGATGTGGCCATGGACCTGCCCTGGCGCAAGTCACACCCTCGAATTAAATCTGCCACTTCTCAGTGAATAATGTGCGTATGCCATGGGAGCTTGAAGCGAACAGAAAACCAACAGAAATTACACTGTATCTTCTTGCGTACGTTTAGTCGCATTTCTTTCTGGGTTTCTGTTTCTGTCGCTGTTTTCATCCACCTTGAGCAAATTAACAGTCGCTTACAACTGCTACACCTCCTTTCAGCAGCGCGGGTCCAAATGACAGAGCAATAAAGAGTGCAACTGCGTCCCAACACCTACGGCATTTCAATCTGTAAAGCTGTGGACGCAGTGCCAAAAGAATCCCGAAATCCTGCAGAGCTTTGGATATTTGAGGCGCTCTTCGCGCATGCGCCGCTGCCTTGTTTACACAAAACTCATTAAAATACGCATTTATCATTTCTGTGTGTGCTTGGGCAGATGGGTTATGGGTTGGGCTCTGTGCTGCGCGCACCACTGCAGTGCAATTTAAATGCGCGCACAAATTATTCTGCCTCGTACAAATTCGGCCGGGCCTCTCCGCAGGCTCTGGCCCTGGCGAATTTATGCAACCAAATGGGCATATTTCAAGGTCGGCGACAGCCGCAAATACACGAAGATATGCATATGTGTATCTATATATTTTTATATATATTTATCGTGCGTTGTAAAGCAGTTCGTGCTGGGGCATCTGAGCTGGCTCATAATTCAACTGAAGTCGGCGAACTTTTTGGCCAGCTCTAAAGAATCGCGATTTCTTATGTTTCGGCGCTTTATTTATTTGAATTTGGAGATTTGGCGGCGTCATCAATCTGCGCGGCCTTCAGGCGTTAAATGCAAAGCGACGGCGCGCAAGAAACTCGGCGACAAATGCGTAGCAAGAGAAGAAGAGAGGACGGCGGACGATTACGATTAAGAGACCCAAATAAATATGCAGCTTCGGCTGGGTTCAATGAACCCATACTAACATTTTGGCTAGTGGTTGCCCAAGAGCTCTGCCCTCTGCCTTAAAAAACCAAACCATTTTAATTTCGGTCTTCAAATCTCTGCTTATTTTTTTTCTTTGTATCATACAAAGGTGGTCTTTATAAATTCTTGCGCAACGTGTCCTTTAGCCTTTTATTATATTTTATCTGCGCTTCGGAGCTTGATGAGTTTTTGTGGCTGCGCCAGTTACCTGTGCTGTGCTTTGCTTTGCTTTTACTTTATTTTTTATACATTTTTTTCTTAAATTCTTTCAGACCACGATCGCTCACAGCGTTGCTCAAAGTTGGGGCGTTTTTAGCTTTCGTTTTCGCTCGAGCAGAGATCGCTCCTAATTGTTGTCGCGCCGTCGTGCTGGGCATATCAGATTCACTTGGTGGCTGGCTATCATATCCCGGCGCTGCATGCCAATGCCCTGGTGTTGGAATCTTTTAGATGCTGGACAGTTCATTGGCCAGCGCTGAACAATGAGCTGCGCGTGATCCAGCACTAAAGCGGCGTGTTCTTCTGTTTAGTTGTGGCGCAACAAAAAAGTTGCCACGTCATAAAAGCTGAGTTGCTCGAACTGGGTCTATTTGATGGCTATTTATTATTTTTAGTGGCAGGCGAAAGTGAAAGTGCGCTTCATGGAATTAATAAACGCCACTTGGGAAGCGTAAAATACTCAGTGCCTTCAAAAAACGCAGCTAAATGGCAAAGCAACTGCCCGAGTCAGCGCTGATGACGTCGTCGACAACGTCATTGTTGGCGTCAAGCGAAACCATCAATTACTCCGCTGCCAGAGTACAGAGTATAGCCCACGTGGCCACGCCCACGGGGCAGGCATGTTAAACATGACAAGGCACCGTCTTGGGCAGACGGAAGTGCGTGCTTTGCTACGCTATTGGGGCGCAGTCTGAACTCGTACTTACCTTCGTACATCTGCGCATATTGCGGAAAGCCTGCTGCCCGCAGCCATTTACAAGCTTCCACGGCTTCGATTTCTGCAAGAGTAAAAGAAAGAGATGTAAGAGGGGTGAGTGAGAGCGGGAAGGGGTATTACTATTACGCATACGCCGTGTGGCCTACAAATAATGCTAATTGTAATTAAATTGCTGTGCGAATTCTTGCGGCTGACAAGCCTCAATGCGTTTCGCCTGAAACCAATTAAGGCGCGAAATGCGCTTTTACTTAAGTGGCTGGGCATGCGTTGCTGTGGTTAGTGCACAATATTTGTGCCTGTTCCCCATGACCACTTGATGGATTATGCTGTAAGCTGTCCAAATGATGTCGACGTCGAAAATTATGCGGCAGCAAACTTTGCCTCTGACTGACGGCGCTTTAAATTGTGTTTTGGTTTCCCCCTTTGGCCGTTGCGAATATTTCTTAGCTGGCTGCCTTCCGCTTGATATAAAAGTAAAAGTTAAGTCAAATCGCGATCAGTCGTTCGACCTGTAAAGACGTGAATTCGAACAGCCTTCGCTTAAGCTCTACTGCTGCAGAGTTCTAAAAATAGAACTTTGCGGTGCATTCTTCAACGCAACAGCAACAAAAACCGCACACGCAGCGTTTTCTTATCGCTTGCTTCCGCGTAACTCAATTGCTTTAATTGCAATTTACGAAATTTCGTCGCTTGGCGCGAGTGCGCCTGCACTCAAAAGCACAATCCGCGATGACATCTAATGTCAATAACCTCGCTACAGCTGTAAAGGTAAATGCAGAAATGCAAGCCCAGCTTAACGTTGTGATGGCAAATAGGCAAGCCTCCATCATGCCAATAAACTCAAAAATAGATATCGCCTCCGTGCAAGGCATCACTAACAACAAAAACACGAAACGTAAACAGCCAAATTCACCAAAAACCATCAAGAAAAGGCTCATCTTCGACGAACCAAGCACCAGCAATGCAGCATTAATATCAGAAAATCGATTTTCACTGCTCGTAGAAGAAGATGAAGACTACAGCGAATCACCTGTAGCTCCAGAAGCCCCAGTATTGACCGACCAGCAAACTACTCCGAAACCTCGTCCGCCCCCCATATGGTGTCCAAACATCAAGTCTGTGGCCCTACTTCAACAGATAATAGATAAAGTAATTGATGCTAAATCATACGTAATTAAGCCAAAGAAGAATAACATAGGTGTATTAACCCAATGCAGTGAGGACTATCGCAGAGTTATAGACCACTTTACTAAGCTGGAATTGGAGTTCCACTGCTACCAGCTTAAGGAGGACAAACCATATAGAGTCGTGTTCAAAGGGCTTCACTCCAGCACTGATACAACACTAATTAAAAAGGAATTGGAAACCAAAGGCCACACAATTACAAATGTGCACAACCCACTGAGCCGTATGGACAAAACACCGCTAAATATATTTTTTGTTGACGTGGCTCAGGCCCCCAACAACAAAGAAATTTTGGACATTCGAGTTGTCTGCAGGCAACGCTGCACAGTGGAACTGCCAAGAAGATACAACGACCTGACACAATGCCATCGCTGTCAAGAATTTGGACACACACAACGCTACTGCCACAAAGCTCCCAGATGTGTGCGTTGCGCCGGGAAACACGCATCCAAAGACTGCACCCGCGAAAAGGACCAGGCACCAACTTGTGTGCACTGTGAGTTACAGCACCCAGCCAACTATAAGGGCTGCCAAGTATACAAGCGGTTGCGCAAATTGCAATCCCCAGCACAAAAAAGGAGTCCCACACAAACACCGTCTACGGGTCCGAGTACTGCTTCCGAAATTACAAGGCCCCGGAGCATTACCCAAGCCACGAGCTTTGCAACGCCTATTAGTGGTGTTTCTTACGCACAGGCCGCTAGAGGTGGACCGTCAAATAAGAATACCACAAGTGACACTTTGTTCACTGAAATGCTTCAGCAACAACAACGTCAGTTTGACGCAATTAATGCCGAGCTCAAAGCGATGCGAGAAGTACAATCCCAACAAGCAACCATGCTAAACAGTTTAATGGCCATCATAACCAAGCTTGCCTACAAATAATGGCTTTACGTGTGGGTATCTGGAACGCCAATGGCCTGAGAAACAAGACTCAGGAACTGGCTGCGTTTCTCTCACAAGAAAACATAGATATAATGTTAATAACAGAAACTCATGAGTGCCCCACTACACAAATTTTCGGATACGAACACTATCAGGCTCATGGTGAAGGAGCAAACTGCTTTGGTGGATCCTCAATCCTCATACGAGCAACAATACCGCATACACCTTTACTGCCAATTTGCAACGCAACAATGCAGGTCTCAGCCATCACCCTGCCTACGTCTATTGGAGCGATCGAAGTTGCGTCAATTTATCTTCCGCCAAACACTGGTCTGTGTGATCATCACATGGAACAGGTTCTAGGCCAAAGGTTGAATAAGACCCTCATCGGCGGCGACTGGAATGGATGGCACCCATTTTGGGGAAGCAATAGTGCGAATCGTCGCGGAGAAGTCATATTTGAGGCGATTCAAAACTTACAATTCAGCATATTGGCGACTGGAGCCCCCACCCGTTACCCAATTAATGGACACAGGCCCTCGGCAATCGACTTCGCTGTCTACAAAGGCATCTGTGACCGGCAATTGACCATTGAAGAATCCTTGGACCTATCCTCTGACCACCTGCCACTAATAGTCACAATCCACGCGCAGCCACAGCCCTTGCCCATTAGGAAACAACTACTGCCAGCAGGATCAGATTTAGGAGTCTTTAGGCGCGAGCTCCATTACTCTTTGCACATAGAAATGGAACTTAACACTCCTGAAGACGTGGACTACGCAGCAAACAAACTGCAGGAAGAAATAGTCAAAGCTGCGCACCAAGCCGCCCCACCATCTTGCCAAACAAGACAACAGTCTCCGTACAACATCCCCCTCACCTTGGAGGCCCAACACCTACTAATACACAAAAGATGGGCCAGGAGACGCTGGTTAAGATTACGCACGCCTGATGCCAAATCCATGTACAACGAAGCCACGAGGCATCTTAAAGCTGCTCTCGCCCTGCTTCAAAAGAGGTGTATCAGCGATGCGCTGGTACGAGCTGAATCGCCCACTGACGCAGAGTTTCAATTATGGAAATTTACAAGAAAGCTCAAACGGCAGCCAATACGACGTCATCCCATTCGGAGCATTTCTGGTTCCTGGCACATTGGAGACGAAGCTCAAGCTGAGGCTTTTGCAAACCACCTTCAAGACCAATTCACGCCGGTGATTACCGCAGAGGCCTCAGAAATCGAAGCAACAGAAGACATCGTTCTCTCGCCCCTCCCAGCTGAAGACCAGATAACTGGATGTACAAAAGAAGAGGTTCTTGAACACATCAGAAGAGTGAAGGCAAAAAAATCCCCTGGATATGATCTAATAAACGGCAGAGTCCTTAGAGCACTGCCTGACTCCACCATAGACTACATAACTATGGTGTACAACGCCATGCTCCGCATCCGGCACTTTCCAGCCTGCTGGAAGCGCGCCGTGATTGTGATGATTCCTAAGCCTGGCAAACCCGTGGGAGAAATTGAGTCGTACAGACCAATTAGCCTGTTGCCAGTACTCTCCAAAATATTCGAAAGAATATTTCTGGAACGAGTACTGACACATCTGGGACGCCAGGAGGCCATTCCAAACCATCAGTTTGGCTTCAGGAGACAGCATGGAACACCGGAACAGGTTCACAGAGTTGTGCACCATATCCTTGGAGCCTTTGAAGAAAAGATGTACTGCTCTGCCGTCTTTTTAGACATCAAACAGGCGTTTGATCGAGTTTGGCACCTGGGACTGCTGCAGAAAGTGAGGACCACCCTTCCAGCCCCATTTTTCGCGTTGCTATCCTCATACCTTATTGGAAGAACCTTCCAAGTGTCAAGGGGGCAAACAGTATCCTTGACTAGACCAATTATGGCTGGAGTACCACAGGGTAGTGTTCTAGGCCCAACACTTTATACTTTATTCACAGGAGATATGCCAACTCCCGAGCCAAATATAGGAAGTACAGATGCAGTACTCATAGCGACCTATGCAGATGACACCGCCATCTTATCACGTCACGTATCTGCGCAAGAAGCTTCAGACTCACTACAAAAATATCTGGACTCTTTCGGACGCTGGGCAAAACGGTGGTGTATCACCATTAATGCACAAAAGTCTGTACATACTACCTTCGCCACTAGAAGAGGAGATTGCCCAAGCGTTGCATTGGGGCCCACTATTCCCAAAGCCTCAAAAGTAAAGTACCTTGGTATCACTCTTGACAGAAGGCTGACTTTTAAAGCGCACATAAGTCAAGTAACCTCAAAATGCAAAAGCAAGCTAAAAACCCTCGACTGGATGCTGAGAGCTTCAAGCAAGTTGTCTTACAGCAGCAAGGCCGCCATCTACAAGGCAATAGTTGTCCCAACCTTCGTATATGGTATCTCTCTATGGGGCTCCTCGGCGAAGACTACAAGGAACAAAATTCAGACCCTGCAGAATAAAGCACTACGCAGATGGACTGGAGCCAGCTGGTTTGTAAGAAACTCAGTCTTACATAGGGATTTAGCAATTCCCACAGTTGCTGAACTCATTGGGCGACACAGTTCAAGATACGCGGACAGACTTGCAGCGCATCCTAACCATCTCGCAAGCAACCTGGCTATAAACAACAATAGGCGAAGACTGAAGAGATTGCATCCTCTAGACAATATTAGAACTAATTAAGATAGTAGCTACAAGTGCAGAATAATTGGCATATCTGCCCTCCCATTAGTTAAGGTTTAGAGCTAAATGCGCTATAGAGTCTAAGACAATAAGCTGCAACAAAATAAAGAAATAAAAACGAAAAAAAAAAAAAAAAAAAAAAAAAAAAAAAAAAGTTAAGTAGAATTTTTCGAGTATTTGTGGTAGATGAAAAGTACCATTCGGTTTAAGGTACCTTGCCCTAAGCATAATACAGAAGGCGTCTCGTCAAGTCGTTTTCTTTATGCTGCTTTGATATAGATACAAAATATTTATT